GAATTATTAATACATTAATAAATAAAATGTAATCAAAATAGAACATGTGAATAATGTAAAATTAAATACATGAAGATAGTATATTAGTGAACAACTTGTTTTATGTTAGTGAACAGTTTATTTACAGAAAAATCATATACACCAACATATTACGCGGAGTAATATTTACAAAAAGTGGGTATAAATATATTTTCCTAAAACAAGGCACTTTACTTGGTGATTTGTAGCGCACTCACATACTTTAGTACTCCGTAGGAGTTTGTCTCATACTATTCTGTATCACATTGTGACACATTCGCACGCATGTTACAAACATCATGCCTTTTATCTTCTTTTTTATTTGATACGGAGTATAACTATTACTCCGTAATAAAATGATCTTATCATATAAATTATGGTACATATTTAAATATAATAAAATAAAATACTAGTAATATTTTTTTGGAACATTCTTCTAAACCTATCATAGTATCTGCTCTTGTTAATGTCAACATTCTTGATTGGGATGCGTCTCGAACCTGTGACCCCCTCTTTGAAAGATCAGAGTGATACTATCAGACCTCAAGATACTTGTCATAAAATAAAATAATATGAATCACGCAATGGTAATTGATTTAACACATATCTTACAAGTTTGAGAGTTCTTATATATGATACTATGGTAGTTATAGATTCACCCTCGTGGCTATGGCCTTTTGACACATGTATACAAATTGAGCTATGTCTATTGTTCCATCATTTACATAATTTTATCGGTGTCCGCTCTTGTCCCTCTAGGGAACTTAGGTTATTGGGTAAGACATTCAATTCGGGTGGAGCTAGGGGTACACACAATTTGTACACACAATTTGTACACTTGTCTGTCCCCCACAGACAAGTGTACAAATTGTGTGTATCCCAATCTTTTTTCATTCAATTCACATGTTTCTAGTCATTCATATGCCATCATTAAATGATGCAAGTCTTGAATACGATTCTACAAAGCTTTAATTAATCCTTACCCTTCCATCTCTTAGCAAGACTACAAAATATTCTTGTAAATTATAGTCGTTATCAAGTATATAAGCAGTGATTTCAAAATATACAATACTGCCATACAAAATAGAGATTTTTTAAAAAATATTACTAAAATAAAATTTATATTTGTACAAATATGACTAAAAGTTACTACAATCTAATCTCATGATAACTTAAGTTTAAAACTTAAACATAAGTTACTATTATTCCACTACTACTCTAGTCACTAGTCATATTTTTGTCAACACTCTTTGTTCTAGTTATATATATATATATATATATATATGTGTGTGTGTGTATATGTATGTATATATATATATATATATATATATGTACATATATATAGAGTGAGAGAGAGATTTAGGATCACATAGAAACTAATCTTAATTTACAAAGTGCAAATTAATCCTAACCATTCCTATTAATTAGATAACGGTGAGGATGCTACAATTGTTCCACTAACTGCTTGTCCTCAAGTTGTGGTTAAAGGATAAATAATTATCCCACTAATACGGTTATGTGTTAGTGCCAAAAAAAAACCATACCCTTGATTATGTAAGATTGAACGGATGAGATGATTTTGCATTATGCATGGGCATGGGAAACATACTTTGTATCCAATCTTAACCCTATATATATATATATATATATATATAATTATAAAAATATACAATCCTCACATAGGACACATTTAGAATGAAATGATATGTTTTATTTTAAACGAGACTATGATGCCAATAATGTCAAAATAATACTACCTTCATCCCAATTTGTTGGTCCTAGTTCATATTCACCTTGTCAACACAAATCACTTGGTCCGAGACTTTTGTCGTTGTGCATTTTATAATTGTTCAAGTTCGATCTGGTCTGATATGTTTAAGCATGATTTGGTCTGACCTGATCTGTTTAAGTCTAATCTATTCTGATCTGAGAGTAAAAACCGTCCAAAAGTAAACATGTTAAATGCACACAAAGAAAACAAAATATGCAGAGTGCAGACAATTGTTTTTTAAAGTCATGGATAATTAGTACTCACTCTATCTCCTGAGTAACATTTTACTTTCCTTATTTAAGTTATACGGAGTACGTAGTAGTATTATACTTTGTAAAAGATAAAATCATGAACTATTGAACTAATAAAGATAATGAAATAATAATTGTACTAACTAAAATTATGGGCTCGACATCTGAAATGAAAAAATCATTATTTTTTTTTCCTTATTCTGGGTTAGATTCAATGCTACCTGGCCCTGTAGATTGCAGTGGGCAAATCAATCACAAGAAGTATCTTTATTCTTCGAAACTTTTTGGGAACCTGACAAACTAATTGCACATTTTGCGTGACCCAGACCTTTAATCTAAAATTATTCGACAGCCAGCCAGACAAACTAATTGCAGTGAGCGAAACCAATTCTATTGGATTTCCCCCCGAAGTGTTAAAACAAAATTTATTAAAAAAAATTATGAATAAAGATATTATTATATGCAATAGTATCACTCTTCCATAAAAATTAGGGAAAATAAAAACTAATAATCCAACCTTTTAGGGATGTTCTTATAATAGTCTCACCTTTTTGTTATTCAAGAATAATCCAACCTTTGCACCCCATCTTCATTCGTTGGTCTCTGATCGATTAATGACCTGCTATTCCAAGTTATTTTCTTATCTTTGCAAAATATTATCTTTGTAAAAGGTGAGATTTATGGTATAATGGTTTGCAAAGATAATAAAATAACTTGGAATAGGAGATCATCAACCGGTCAGGGACCAATGAATGAAGATGGGGTGCAAAGGTTGGATTATTCATGAATAACGAAAAGGTGAGACTATTTTAAGAAGACCGCTAAAAGGTTGAATTATTAGTTTCCATTTTAATGGGACTATGAATAACGGAGTAACAGATAGATTTCACAATTTTTGAATGGGGAAAATGGAAACTAATAATCCAACATTTTAGCGGTCTTCTTACAATAGTCTCACCTTTTCGTTATTCATGAATAATCCAACATTTGCACCTCATCTTCATTCACTAGTCTCTGACCGGTTGATGACCTGCTATTCCAAGTTATTTTCTTATCTTTGCAAACCATCATACCATAAATCTCACCTTTCACAAAGATAATATTTTGCAAAGATAAGAAAATAACTTGGAATAACAGGTCATTAACCGGTCAGAGACCAGCGAATGAAGATGGGGTGCAAAGGTTGGATTATTCTTGAATAATGAAAAGGCGTGTGACTATTGTAAGAAGACCGCTAAAATGTTAGATTATTAGTTTCCATTTTCCCTTTTGAATAAAAGAAGTTTATTTATTAATAATAAAAGTAGAAGAACGGTCGCTTCTCTCTATGCATGAACTGATCCAGGACTTTGAGTCAAAGTCGACATTTTTTTCGTGAGTGTAGGGGTGAAAATTTTTCGTTAGTGTAAAAGAAATTTTACACTAAAATGATCATGATATTATATTATACTACATTAACTACTAATTACATTTTTGTAAATAAATTTAATTACAACAGTTTTTTTTTGAAGAGATCACATAATTTAAATGGAAGATGCAAATTAAAATTTGATTACAATTTAGGGTATGTTTGGCACAACTAGCTGAAAAGATACTTTTACAGACTTTTTAGTAACGGTTAGCTTTTAGTGACTGAAAAGATCTTAAAAGTAAAAGGTCGTAGCTGTTTGGTAAAAAGCCGACTGTTTGGTTTAGTTCTGTTTAGTATAAAGCTGTTGGGACTAATTAATGCTAAAAGTCACAGACTTTTTTCAAATGCTACTCCCTATAGCATCTCAAAAAAGAGCTTTTTGTTTTTGGAAAAGCTCTTAAAATTGTCATACAAACATACAACTAGGAGCTTTTAGAGACTTTTTAAATAATACAAAAGCTAGAAGGCAGAGACTTTTGCCTGCCAAACATAGTCTAAGACTATGTTTAATTGTGGTAATGTGATCGGACTTTATACTTTAAAAAGTTCCTGATTAACATAATTGCCTTTGATGTAGATGAGAACGGAATTCAATAGACGCCTTATCTACCAACTATTGACTTTAGCATTTTCATCAAGTCAAAATCATCAACTTTATTACCAAGTAGGTCTAAATATGAATAAATGAAAAGTAAAGTTTATTTTTGGGACGAAACAACCCATAGTTACACTACACTATATTATTACTTCACATTTAATATCACACATTTAAAGAGAATGTCATTAGTCCAATGGGTCACAATTCAAACATAAGTTCCTCCTCTTGTCCTCGATCTTGAGTTTAAAGTTACTCAAAAGTTGAATTTAAGAGGTATTCTCAAATAATGATCCACTAGCTCTAGACGCCACCTTGTTCGTGTAATTAGTGTTTTGTTTTGCTCTAAATAAAATTATGAAGTTATGTTCTTGCTGGAAAACTTTTTGTATTGGCTCACCGGTGATGATTCTCCCTAGAGCTGCAGTGTGTTCCGGTAGTGAGTGTAATCACTTCATAGCGATTTCTTGTACACGAACAATACCAGTTCTAAACTGAGTGTGAAGGCAAAGATTGAGTAAAAACATAAAACATAGATTATAAAACATAGATTAGAGGGAGATTATATAAGAGGTTAAGAAAAGAGCTTCAAAACATGTGGCATGCATAAGCTTCTGTCTTCTAACTTTTAACTATTTAAAAAGTCTGTAAAACCTTCTAATTGTATGTTTGGCATGAAAGTTTTCAAAAAATGAAAGATCTTTTTTGAGATGCTACAATGAGTAACATCTGAGAAAAGTCTAGCATCTGAAAAAAGTTTGTCACTTTTAGCACTAATTACTTCTAACAGCTTGTATACCAAACAAAACTAAATCAAACAGTCAGCTCTTTACAAAACATCTACTCCGTACCATTTTTCCTTTTGAGATTTTTTCAGTCTCCAAAAACTAACAATTACTAAAAAGCTCAGAAAAATGTCTTTTCAGCTAGTTGCGCCAAAGATATCCTACTTAGCAAACGTCTTTCGTTAAAATGATATTTTAGGTGTATAAATGCATAGGCAAACACGACTCTAAGAAGGAAAAATGCCCCATCTTAGCTATCATTGTCCATATACTTATCATTATAAACTGTTTTCGTACAGCTGTAATAACTGGAAATGAAAAAGGAATTAAACAAATTTTTATAACGCACGAAAAATGAAAAAGAAGCGGGAGCCGTCCAAGATGTAGTTGATCTATCAACATCCACTTTTGCTCACACCTTTTTTCCTTTTACGTTTCTTTTATCCCCTAGCCTCTCCTTGCCACCCTCCAAAAGTTTACCAATATTTACATGGGGCGCTCTAATAAAGATGAAATGCGAATTCCATCCCATAATGAAGTAGTTTATACTTTATGGTCAACTCGTTATTACCGTCACTTTGCTAGGCAGCCAATCTCCACTGCTCCGGCTACTCAAATCTATTTCGGGTTCGAGCTGAAGTCGTACAACCACGTCGTCGTGGGAAACGGATCTCAGAGACTGGACTTTGTCGAAGCTTGGAGCCAAGATGTTCTGCACCCACTCCTCTAGGCTTGTCTGGCCGCGCCACATTCCTGCTAAGACCCTGTCTACTGCATCGTCTTCTACTTTAAAGACAACTTTTTCGTCGTCAACAACCATGGAGAATTTCTTGGAAATCGTCTTCCTAATCTCACGGCGAACAAAGCCGAAGTCAACAGGCCTGAAAGTGATCGCATCATCGGCGGCATTTAAAAGCTCGTGGGGTACGGATGTGATTGCGAATTGCATATTTTCAGGCTCAAGCTCTTCTTCTTCGTGCTCAATAGTGAGATCACTTGAATTGTTTGATCCATCTGTTCTGTCATCAGCATCATCTGCCGCTTCGTTCAGGTCAAAAGCAACCCCTGAACTCACCACTTCTCTTCTCGCTTTCGTTACCCTGTCTTCACCAAGCAACCAATTCCCCTTGCGCTTTGTGCTCTTCTCACTGATTGCTAGCCTCAATTGACAATTGCCACTAGAGAGTGATGTGAACTTCTTATTATCATCTCTATATCTTTCTGGACTCACTGAAGACCAATTTCCAGCAAGAATGAACACAATGTTGCCAAGACTGATTTCGCGGCCATGGGAATCAGCAAACCTACCTCTTTCCATTGCCCGTTTTATGTTCCCCCTAACCATCATATTCGCCTCATCGACATCCTCTAGCATAATAACAGAAAACGGGTTTTTCCTAACAGCCTCTGCAATGCGGTCAATCGCTGTTTTACCACGAAAATCTGTCTCCGTTTCTTCACCATCACGGCTTGAGCCAAGAGGTATTATAACCGCACTGGCCCCACACACTTGCTGGGCAAGGACTGACGCCATTTTCTTTTTCCCGATCCTATCAGGACCTGTGAATAACAACCAAATATCACCCTTCGGAGCATTTCCGCGCTGTCTTCCATTGCCTAACCTACATCTTGTGACAGCAGAAGCTACAGCAGAGGCTGCGTCCTGCTGCCACCATGCCTTTGCCATGAGACCCTTGAGGAGCTTTTTGAATGTGTCAGCATCTAATGCACTGGCGAATTTGTCCAGTATCTTCTTCTGTGGCTCAGGAGAGATGCAGCAACCGAGGAAATCCTTAGTGTTGTCTTCTTGAGATTTCTGGGAGTTGATTTCAGCCTGTTTTTGGCCAAGAAACAATTCTGTCCTCACTGGGCTTTCCAGAGGGCTAGCTGCAATTTGGTGCGTGTTGAGTTGTAAACTCTCTCCCAGGGGTTTAGTTGTTTGTATAAGTTTAGAGTTTTGCATATTCTCCCCGAGATTTTTCAACGTTTGCAGTTTAGGTTGCAAAGGTTGCCGCAGAAGTAAGTTGAGGTTCTGTAAGCCTGGGATACCCAGACCAGGAAGAGAGACTCTCTTCTCCGAACTTGCATTATTATTATTATGGTGGAAATTCGGGTGAAGTTGCAAACATTTTTCACTCCACTTTTTCTGTAAAGCTTGAGTCTTTAGCTTCTGAAGTTCTTGGCTCTTGCTCTGGTTATTACAAGTAAAAAACAAAGAATTAATCGTCCGACTAGATTTTTAAATGTAGAAATTAAAACAGGCAAGTAAAAGACATACGTGTGATGGAGATGTTCCCTTATTATCGCCAGAATCGTTACTGCTTTGCTTTGCATCTTGCAGCCACTGGGGCAATGCTTGCCGAGATGAATCAGAATTAGCATCAGAAGGCGAACTCTCAAACTCAGATACCAGTTTCTCCAGCTCTTGGTTGTATTTCTCCATACATTGAGGGCAGGTTGATGATGATGAGGATGGTGACGACGATGTCCTCCTATCAATAGCCTGATTCATGCACCTCAGTAGAGGAGCAGGCATCGCCGCAGTAACAGGGAAGGTCTTTAATGGATTTAGGCCTTCACCTGGGCTGCTGAACAATCTTTCCTTTCCAAGCCTATTAATCAAAGTTGAAGAACAATAAAGTTCAGTTCAGAATGCAGAATCAGACAAGCACGTAAGAAGAAACAAATGTGACAAAAACAGTAACTATTCCAAGCATCCACACAGTCCAAGAAATCAACTTTATGGGAGTTAATCCATCTCCATAAAACGGCTGCAATCACCACTAATAACTAGATTTTAAAATACTTATACTGTGTAAAACATGCAATTTTCTTTCCTAAAAAGTTGTCATTTCAGACATTCAAAAACATCTCCATAACTTTTACACTACAAAACCTGATATCGTTTCTATAAATAGCATTAATAAGATTTGGAGGGTGGGAGTATTCATACCAGGAAGAAATCCCTGGATTAGCAGCAGCCGGCTTAGAAGCCATAGGCACAGCCTGCAGATCCCAATCATTTTCCATGGTAGAATGATAAACCTGACACCTCAAATAAGTCTCACAAGTAGCAGTACCTATAACCCATATCGTACTACTGCCTTCGCCGGAACCCTCCCGGAAAGAAGAAAGCAGCTTCCCTATCTCCGTCACTGCTGTGCGGCTGGCATCAGATACCAGCGGTTGGTGTCCACCACCACCAGCTGAGCCTGCGGCAGCCTGTTCCACCATCCATTTCAAATCGCCCAAATCGAGAATTACCCCACCATTCCCTAACATATTCCGAATCAGGAATCCCATTTCATTGATCTTGGCTGGAATCTCATTCTTGTCTGAACATAAGTCCTTGTCGATTGGGATCACTTGAACATTCTTGAGAGGGCCTTCTCCGGCAACCCCAAGCTCCCTTTTCTCGATCTTCCTGAATAAATCCTTCACCACGGCCTCTGGCTCTCCCTCACCTACCAAAATAGGGTTCCTTTTCTTACCCCTCGTCAGAATTTCGAGGACCTTCCGGATTTCTTCATTCCTGGTATTCCCCAACTGCCCAGATCCCCCTCCCTGTTGTAGCCGCGGATTCAGATACAGATTCCGGTTTGATAGTGACGGGGGCGCCGCCGACGTAGACGCGGATGCCGACGGTATCGAGAGCAACCGAGGGCCGCCGAAATTTCCCAAATTCAAAGGAGCTGTGTGGTGGAGATGCGTTTGATTTGAGCTCGGATTCAGGGTCTGCTCGATCGTAGCCTTGACTGCCGGGCTCGAGAAGCTCGCCTCCCTCATCACCCTGCTCACGCCGGGGTCATCGAGAATCGATATTATCAACTGCTCCAGCTCGACTTTCACTGCCAGCAGCGGCTGCTGCTGCTGCTCCGGGCACCCCCCGCCGCTGATTCGCCTGAGCGCGCTTCAGAGCAGCATTAAGCGCGTTCGAGACCGGCGGCTCCATCCCCGGCGGCATGTTCTGCGCAGTGGGGAGCCGCTCGAGCGCCACGCTGAAGCATAGCTCGAGCGCCCGGCACTGCAGCGGATGGGAGGAATTGGGGTGGGAGCGGATGCAGGCCTGCCGGAGAAACCCAGTCGGAGAGGCGAGCAGCGTCGCCGCCACGTGCAGAGGAGTCGTCTGGCCGTGATTCCGGCGGCTGGCCTCGGTAATCGAATGGTTCAGCACGCTGGCGGCCTCAGGGGTTAAGGTCTGCAAAATCGTGCTCAACCCAGACCGCATCTCAGCCACAGTGTTCAAATCAATCCTAAATAAACACCAAATTCAACACCAACCGGAAGAAAAGAAGGGAAAAAGTGGGAGCAAATCTGGGCAAATGAAAAGAACCCAATTGGAGTAGCCTTTCTTTCAAAGGTTTGATCTTTTAGGCAGGGAGTTGGATAGAAAAGGAGGATCCGCGTTTCAACTTTTGGTATGTATCACTATCTATGTATCTGCTCTTTCTTTCCTTCCATCCTTGTGGTATGAAAAGCATATATGAATGAATCACAGTAAAGGCCAAGGGAGATTATTCAACGCGAAAAGGAGATATCCAAGCTCCTCCCTTCACAGAACCGCCCACCCACCCAGCTACTATTTATCTCTCTCTCTCTATCTCTGCTGAAAAAGAGATGATGATGACGGACATGAGATGATGTCCATGAGGATAAAAAGCTATGTAGACATACTCTACGGTGCACCGATACTTCACCCTGATGCCGTATCCGCGTATCCGATACGTATCCGATATCGATACTCACCGATACGCGTCCTGTACGTATTGGGTCCGTATCCGTAATTTAATAAAAGTATCGGGCTTATTTTCAAAAATACCGATACTTCCGATATCCGTATCCGTGAATCGATACGCGTATCCGCCCTTATAACCCTCATTTCATAAACGACATGACGAAAATTTAGTAGCCGCCCAAGCAACCACAAGATACGGAACATTGTTAAAGATGATTTCAGAAGTATGAAAAATAATGGAATACTATAGTTTTTCATTTTATCGCTTGATGAACTTTAATTGAAACAAAACTTAGATGTAAATGCAAATAGAGAACAAAGCATATTATTTCAATTTAATTCGAAATATTAGTACTTTAGATTTTTTAGCCCAATCTTTGAAATTTTATTATATTAGTTAATTTTTTGTACTATAGTTATTTTATTTATGAATCCCTGAATTATATATATTTGCAAATTAAAACCTATATTTTTATTATTTATAAATTTACCCCCGTACCCGTATCCTATAATTTTTGAAATCGCCGTATCGCCGTAACCGTATTCGCGTGTCCGCGTATTGGCGTATCCGTATCCGTGCAACATAGGACATACTCATACGATACATACACGGACAATCGGCTCTTTTCTCATTCAATAACTCCTCCAAAAGTGTCCCATTAATTTTCACTCTCTCTCTCTAGAGCAGAAGACTTTTCTGGAAAGAGAAACAGAAATTTGACGAGTTTACGGCTACAAAAATGAAGAAAAAATCTCTCCTCCTTTTTGAGTCTTGCTCCATTCATTCCCCTCTTTATTGTTTTAAGGGCAAAACCATATATTACAGTCCTTTTTATGAAAATAAATACAAAGAGAAAAATGCGACTTGCTTTGAATATTCTAAAGAGAGAGTAATTGAGCACTTATATCCTTTATTTAATACTTCATCCAATCCATTTTTAGTTGCAACGTTAACATTTTACATTTGTCAACGCACGTCTTTGACCGTAATTATATTTTAATCTCTATTAATAAAAAATATTTAAAAATCAGATTTTGAAATATGTAATGAGATGAATTGAACAATATTTTTTTTAAAAAAAAATAATTTTTGTAAAATCATACCGTAAAATGTAGTCAAAGTAGAACATGCGTAAAATTCAACATGTTGCGATTAAAAAAACGGAGGATAATATTATATCATCTGTTTTTTTAGTTGCAACATGAAAATTTTACACTATTAACATATTCTACTTTGATTACATTTTATTTTTTAATAGAGAGAATTTGACTTTGCACTTCACTTTTGGGGTGATATTGGGCTTTGCATCCCATTTTGAAAAAACTATGACTTCGCACCCTACTCACAAATTTTTCTTCACAAAATGTTATGTGATGGGGTGCTAAGTCAAAGTTTTTATAAAATGGGGTGTTGTGTCTAATATCACCCAAAAAGTGGGGTAGAAAGTCAAATCCCCCTTTTTAATATATTTTTAATATATGAGAATTACTTTAAAAATAGTTGAATTCGACTCTTTATAAATTGGAAAAATGGTCAAATAGGCCATCAAACTTACATAAAAATATCAAATAAGCCCTTATATAGGAGGCTCTGTCCCCCGTCGCCATTTGGGGCAGCTCCCTGTGGATTTTTTTAATGAATTTTTTTTTAGCATTTTATTCATTATGTCTAGTCTATTCATACCAAAGTTCAGCTAACAATTCCAATTAGGAAACACGCACGCGTGACCTTTTCCTCTTTACCCCCTGTGCATAGTGCATTTTTTAGAGCGATGCCAAAGCTTAAGTGTGGGGGGTGAATTGGCTTAAGGGCATTAGTTAGTACGTGAGATTAATTGTGTTAGCATGCACATGTGTTAGTTGTATAGTTGTGGGGAAGTCATGTCAAAATTTATGTAAATGATTTCTTTAAACTGTGTATTTGTGAGCTGGCTAGAGTCTAGACTTTACTAATATGATGTCTTTGAAGTTGTTAGGCATAAATTACTTGTACAGTTAATCTAGTTGTTGAGAGGACGAAGACATTAGTTACCCACATTTAATTCATGATATTTCATTCCACCTGAATAAGCCCTTTAGGGTAAGCCATGTTGAGCCTGACCTGTTTGTTCTTTACCCGAAATCCAAATGGCATATTTTTCTCACCCGTGAATAATTTTGACAGTTTTTTGGTGTCTAAGGTACTAGGGGATTAATTTGCTAACTTTAGAGAATTTCGGTAGGAGCCATTTTTGGCACTGTTCCTATTTCCCAAATGGGGTAAGAGCAGTCACTTTCTAGGAATATGATATTTTCGAGGATTGCATTGTAGACATGGATTCACTTGCTTTACATGAATTTTAATTAATAATGTTCCTTGGTGAGGTCGAGATTAGAATGAGGTGTTGTCTAGTGAAAATCTGAAAAAATGAAAAAATAATAATAATAATTAATAGCTAGACCTCTCTACCATGCGAAAAAGAGAATGGGAGACCTGGTAAAAAAGCGTAAGTGTTTTTCACAATAAGACGAGACTTGGGAATCTTTCGAAATAAATGGTGTTCTCGTGCCAACATGATGAGGAAAAATAAACTCTTAAAAATTGGACTTGAAGACTTGCAAAAATTTAGCATTAGTCCTTCGCGTACTTCAAGTGTACGTCAAAGCACCAATGTGCAGCGACGGTTTAGCTTATTTGTACACCATGTCTACTTCTTGCGTAATGATAGATGATTGTTCCAAGTTGGTTTCTTGTTGAGTTCCTTAATCTTAGGAATAGCCCCAAATCTCCCGAATACATCGAGTCGCTGTCAGGTTGTTCCAATCTCTCAAAGAAATGAGACTATTTCACCATTCACCGCCACCTTTACATGTCCTTCTGATCAGTAGTTGGTTTATTGTTTGTGTTACCATAACTTCAAGGATGTTATGATTAATTTTACCTAGAGTACAAAGAGGTAGTTTAAGGAAGAATTTTCTTGGTTTAGTCTGTCTTATCTGTGAGTATCTCTGTAAATACTTGTGCATGCTGATAATTTTAATGTCGTGTGGTGATTATCGTAAGTCATGTAGTTCAGTTTGCTTGACGACAAACAAAGGCTTAAGTGTGGGGAATTTGATAGGACCGTATTTCGACACGCATTTGATGCGTGTTGAGATCGGCTTTTGATGGTTTTCCTAGTTTAAAGGTGTCATAAGTCTCATTTTTAGCTCAAATCATATTTTACCGGACGTTGGTTCGTTTTGTTATTTTTGGAGTCAAAATTAGGGAATCAAGCCCGACACCGGCGTTTGAGAAGTAATCGAGAGAGTTGAGACACATTTGAGAGTTTATTAGGAGCATTGAAGGTCAATGAGGTGTTGAAGACGAATTTTGAAGACAAAAGAGCTCTAGAATTGGCTACGTGATCAAAAGAAGACGAATAGAGCTTGAAACGGCGATCAGGATGACGTTCTGTCAATCTTTCAAGAATATCTTTTTGTAGAAACATCCAAAGTACACGATTCAAGTTCCATATGAAAGCTAACTTCAAGGGCTAGAAATCATATAAAGACACTATGACAAGAATCGCAGAAGAGCAAAGTGAAAACAAATGAGGAAGTCAAATGCTCGCTGTTGAGATTTCAGGATGCAACCTTCCACCATTTTATTCATATCTTTTGATTGGATGATCCAAATTGAATTTTGCAAGTTGTGTTGGATAGAAGATTTCATTATCTACAACATTAGTGATGGAAGCATAGTCAAATTCAGTAAGGAAAGATGCATGTCGTGCGCCCGAAGTACGCACATCATGCGCGGAAAAAGAAAACCATGGAGGAGCTACTGGAGGCCACACATGCTGTGTGTGCGAGGGACCACACCGTGCATGGCCATTTTTGCGTGTTTTCTGCTCCGGACGCACTGGGACACGCACGCCGTGTGTAGGTGCCGTGTGTGGGCTCCTGGTGTCCTTTTTCCATCAGAATTGCTCCATTTTTTCTAGTTAAACAGTCTGTAAACCCCTGTTTTCAAGATGAAGTTTAAATAGAGGGGCCTAGGGACGAAATGTTACATATTTTTCAGCATTGTTCATTCTTTAAGAGCCTGAGATTATTTGTAAGTTCCTACTTTTTAATTACTTTGTAAGTTCTTATGAAGATTATTTGTAAGTTCCTACTTTATAAGTCCTAGGTCTCTTCGTCTTAATCTTATTACTTATTCCTTATTCTTATTTTATTCAGATCAGATCAGATCAGATCAGAAAGATTCAGATCATATCAGAAACATTCAGATCAGATCAGATCGAAAAAATTCAAACATGATTTATCACTTTTATTATTATATAGTATTAATTATAATTATTACTATTATAATTATTATATTATAATAATTGTTAATTATATTAATAATAATCTTTAAATATAATAATAATAATAATATAATATAATAATAATAATATTAATAATATAAATATTATTATAATATTATAATATATTAATAATATAATAATAATATAATAATATAAAAATATTGATAATTTTAATATCATTATTAAAATAATAATTAAGTTATTATTATATTATTATAGTTATGATAATAATAATAATAATAATAATAATAATAATAATAATAATAATAATAATAATAATAATAATAATAATAATAATAATAATAATAATAATAATAATAATAATAATAATAATAATAATAATAATAATAATAATAATAATAATAATAATAATAATAATAATAATAATAATAATAATAATAATAATAATAATAATAATAATAATAATAATAATAATAATAATAATAATAATAATAATAATAATAATAATAATAATAATAATAATAATAATAATAATAATAATAATAATAATAATAATAATAATAATAATAATAATAATAATAATAAAATAT